TTAAGCATATTTATTTATTAATTTAATTAATATATAATATAATTAGTAATTAATAATTAATTATTTAATATAATTTTATTGATAAGTATTAAAAAATGAAAACAGAAAAAGAAAAAAAAATTTCAATCGTTTTCTATTTTTTTCACAAAAATCATTTTCATTGTTTTTTTATTTTTTTCGTTTTTAAAATTTTTATTAAACAAATACGATTTGTAGACCGTTTTCATTTTCGTGTTTTAAAAGACGTACAGAAATATTTTTAAAAATAATTCTAAACGCACCTTACTGTATTATTCTCTTTTTTTTATTTATTTCTTATAAAAATTACAACAGAGGAGTAAGAATTTTTAAAACTCAAAAGTTAAATGAGAATGAGTCATCGTCATAATAATCTAAAAAATAAGAAAAACAAACAACGAATAAAAATAAAAATTAGCTCAACCCACCCAAACGGGCCAAACCCACCATTGCCGCTGTTGAGTCGTGTGAGTCATTTTGGCTCTCTTTTTATGTTTTGGGCTTTGGTTGGCTTAGTCGGGCTTCTTGTTTAGATTGTTTATTTTGAAAGTGTCAAGAAAAACTTACGTTTTGAAAGTAGTATATAAGTTGCTGCAGAAATGTCGTACAGCCTTAGTTTGAGTTGTTTGGCTGCTTAAGTAATGCTGTGCGTTTTGACAAAATCTGAAGTTAAGCTTTTGAATTCGTTGGGTTCGTTTTAAAAGAAGAAATCAGCTTCATTAAGATAAGACTCTGAGGATTTCGTGGAGAAGATCAAGATTGTGTTGCTATTTTGATTTAAACCAGGATTTGAAATTAAAACAAATATCTGTTAAAGATTTTGTTTTAGTTTGGATAAGAGGTTTATTCAAAACCGTATTTTATGATGGATTTGTTGTGAAGATCAAGATATCATCTAAAAAGAGATTGGAGTGCTGAGAATCTGGGTCAAGGAAACTGAAACTGGAATATGCGAAGTAGATTACGTGCTTTGAGTTTCAAACTGATAACTGTCTTATCTGTAACTACAGATTCTGAGACAGATTCTGATTTTGAATTAAGATCAGTTTATAAAAGGATGCTGCACGAGGAATCTACTGAGGGACTGCAATTCTGAAAAAGCACGGCGTGCACAAGTTGAGGAGATATAGCGTTCATCGATTTTGATCTTTGAGAGATGATTTTGTGAGCTTTCGGGAGAAGGCGTTTTGAAGACGAGTGGTGCTCGCCAAGCTAGCCACTTAGGGTGTTAGACACAGCGGCGTCGATAGTCAAGAGGGAGTCTTGAGTTGGTTAAGTCCGATTGGTGTCTGTAACTTTTTACCCATTAATGGATTGCTTGATGCATGGGCGTGGCCCCGTGGATGTAGGTCCGTTTGACTGAACCACGTTTAATCATTGTGTAGTATTTACTCTGCTTTTGTGTTTTGCTTTGTTAATCCTTAATCATTTTATAAGAAAACACGGTAAAAGCATACAACCGGTTCTAACAATTGGTATCAGAGCGGGTCACAAACTACTGTGTTTGTGAGATCTTGGCATAACCGGTTGATGCTCGTCTGAAGCTATGTATTCGCTGCGTGAAGGAGGTTCCGTGTCAAAGCCACCACTCTTGGATGAATCCAATTATTCGTATTGGAAGGCCAGAATGAGAGCTTTCATTAAAGCCATTGATGAGCGAGCTTGGAGGTTGATATTGACAGAATGGACGCATCCGACAACAACAGACAACAGCGGCAATGTCACTTTGAAACTAGAAGAGACGTGGTTAACAGATGAAGATCGCCTAGCGAATTACAACTCGAAAGCACTCAATGTTGTTTTTAATGTTGTAGATGTGAATCAATTCAAATTGATTTCTACATGTGAATCGACCAAAGAGGCGTGGGAGATACTTCAAATTGCTCATGAAGGCACAACTGCTGTGAAGGTCTCTAAACTTCAAATCCTTACCACCAGGTTTAAAGAATTAAAAATGCATGAGGATGACTGCATTGCCAATTTTAATTCAAAATTGTGTGACATTGCTAATGAATCTTTTGCTCTTGGAGAGAAGTATTCGGATACAAAACTGGTAAGAAAGACTCTCAGATCACTACCTGAGAAGTTTGCATACAAGGTTGCTGCTATAGAAGAGGCTGTTGACTCAATGAAACTTGATGAACTCATGGGTTCTCTTCGTACTTTTGAATTGAAATTTAAGAAGGACAAGAAGGAGAATGGAATGACTTTTCGGTCTGGAGTAGAATCACAGAGCAATCAAGAGGAATCTGAAGATGAAGGAGAACTAGAAGAATCTCTGGCACGTCTCACAAAAAACTTCAAGAAGATTTTGAAGAAGATGAAAAAGAAGGGAAATTTCAAGATTTCTCTAGGACTGGGAAGCAGAGATTTAATTCTCAGGGTTCAAAACAAACTGACTCAGATAAGAAGGGAAGAGGAATTCAATGCAGAGAGTGTGATGGATATGGTCATATACAAGCAGAGTGTGCAAACACCTTGAAGAAAAAGAAGAATAAGGCCATGAAGTCCACATGGAGTGATGATGAAAGTGCCAATGCAAGTCAAGATGAGGATGAAGAGCACAACAGTAATTTTGTTGCATTCAACGTGACTACAGTCCTTTCAGACAGAAGAACCACCAGCAAGGATGCATCTGTACCAGAATCTGTAGGTACAGAAATAAGCATGAAGCATGTTTCCGCAGAATCTGAATCTGATACTGATACAGATAGTGAGGAGGAAGACATTGATACTGAAGAGGTCCAGAAAGCATATGAAAAAATGTATTCCAAGTGGACAGTGGTTTGCAAGGTCAATATTTCCTTAGAAGAGCGGGTTAAAAGCCTTAACAAGGAAAAGAAAGAACTACATGCCATAGTGACCAAATACGAGTTTGAGGATGCAAAGAATAAAAGGGATCTTGCAGAAACAAGACTGGAGTTAGAGCGAACTCAAAGAAACCGAAGGTTGCTGAACTCTGAAACGACTAAATTGGACCATCTCTTATCTCAATAAAGAACAAGTAGCGATCACACTGGTCTTGGTTACATTGGTGAGAGTTCTGGTACAAAATTGGCATTTGTAAAGGCCACAAACAAGTCAGATGTCAGCCATGAGCAGAATACTAATGTACGGTCAGGTATGAAATCTGTCACAAATTCTGTAGCTACAAAACGCAAGCCGAAGCATTTTGTTCCTATTTGTCATTACTGCCACATACCTAGACACATAAGACCTTGGTGTTATAAGTTTCAAAATGCCTTGAATAGAGGAATGCAGTTTTATCCACCTAATGATAGAAAAACAAGAAAAATTTGGGTTAGAAAATCTGATATGCGGAGTCAAATGGCACAACTTCTTTCCTCATCGTCTATGCCTTCTTCCTCGGCTGTTGATCCTCCGGTTTGATCTGTTCTTCAGTTTGTAATTTTTGATTCCAATAGTTTCTGTTCTATTTTGGACTTTGGCTTTTTGTTTGCCAAACTTAGGGGGAGAATAATGTGTTTTTCGTGGTTAATTAGTTAGTAATTTTCTTGAACACTTTCTTTGCTTTGAGTACTCTTGGGTATAGTTGTGTAACTTTGCCAAACTAAGCCAAAGGGGGAGATTTTTGAGTCGTGTGAGTCATTTTAGCTCTCTTTTTATGTTTTGGGCTTTGGTTAGCTTAGTTGGGCTTCTTGTTTAGATTGTTTATTTTGAAAGTGTCAAGAAAAACTTACGTTTTGAAAGTAGTATATTAGTTGCTGCAGAAATGTCGTACAGCCTTAGTTTGAGTCGTTTGGCTGCTTAAAGAATGCTGTGCGTTTTGACAAAATCTGAAGTTAAGCTTTCGAATTCGTTGGGTTCGTTTTAAAAGAAGAAATCAGCTTCATTAAGATAAGGCTCTGAGGATTTCGTGGAGAAGATCAAGATTGTGTTGCTATTTTGATTTAAACCAGGATTTGAAATTAAAACAAATATCTGTTAAAGATTTTGTTTTAGTTTGGATAAGAGGTTTATTCAAAACCGTATTTTATGATGGATTTGTTGTGAAGATCAAGATATCATCTAAAAAGAGATTGGAGTGCTGAGAATCTGGGTCAAGGAAACTGAAACTGGAATATGCGAAGCAGATTACGTGCTTTGAGTTTTAAACTGATAACTGTCTTATCTGTAACTACAGATTCTGAGACAGATTCTAATTTTGAATTAAGATCAGTTTATAAAAGGATGCTGTACGAGGAATCTACTGAGGGACTACAATTCTGAAAAAGCACGGCGTGCACAAGTTGAGGAGATATAGCGTTCATCGATTTTGATTTTTGAGAGATGATTTTGTGAGCTTTCGGGAGAAGGCGTTTTGAAGACGAGTGGTGCTCGCCAAGCTAGCCACTTAGGGGGTTAGACACAGTGGCGTCGATAGTCAAGAGGGAGTCTTGAGTTGGTTAAGTCCGATTGGTGTCTGTAACTTTTTACCTATTAGTGGATTGCTTGATGCCTGGGCGTGGCCCCGTGGATGTAGGTCGGTTTGACTGAACTACGTTTAATCATTGTGTGGAATTTACTCTGCTTTTGTGTTTTGCTTTGTTAATCCTTAATCATTTTATAAGAAAACACGGTAAAAGCATACAACCGGTTCTAACAGCCGCCACCCCTAACCTCAGCTCATCCTCGTCCTCAGCCTCCCACGCTTGGCATACACATCAACCATGAAACTCCCCCCAAACACATCATAAGCAAAATTAGTCTTAACCACAACTCAGTCGAGCACGTGGGGGAAATGAAGAGGGAGCTGGGTTTTCGAGATTTTAGATGTTGGGCGCAAATCTATCTCTTGTAGTGTATTAAAATTGATTCCTTAAACATTGAACCCCTCAAAAATAATTGATTCTTTGAACTCTTTTTTTTTTTTTGCTATCTGTTCTTGATAAACAATCTCTTTTCTTTTGTACATTCTTTTGCTTTTATTACTTTGTTGTTTGGAGGTTCTACTAAGTTTTAGATTTGAAAGTACAGTTGATGTTCACTGGTTTCATAATTATATTGTTGGGTTCGGGGAATTGACAGAGAAGAAGAAGAAAGAATGGGGATAGAGAGACACCAAATTATTGAGGCGTTTGAATATTTTGTTTTTTATATGGAAATAAAAATAAAAATATTTTTAATTTTAGAAATTATTTTTAAAAATGTGTTTAATAATTTTATCAAGAAATTATTTTCAGTGTAAAAAAATTCATTAATGTCTCTATTTCTTTCTTTACTCGAGTAAAAAGAAAACGAAAATAAAAAATAATTCTATTATTTTACACTAAACTAAAAAACCGTTTTTATTTTTATTTTTTATTTTTATTATGTCAAACGTCATTTTAAAAACGTTTTTCTTCTCGAGAAATGTAAAAAATAAAAACGAAATTAATTTTAAATACGGCAATTGCTTTTTTTTAATATGCTTTTATTTATTTGTTTGTTTTTGCACAACTCAACAAATCTGCAGTTGTTTATGCCATTGGTTTTTTTTTTTTGTCATTTACAAATTCTTTGGGATTTTTCTTTTCTGAAAAGGGTATTTTGGGTATTCTCTAGGTCAAATTCTAGCATTGACTTAGAAAAGGTATAAGTTTGTCTACTAAGTGTAATCTTATGGTACACATTTAATGAGTTAGAAGACTAAGGGTATATTTTTTAAATAACTCTAAAATACAAGGTATAAAATAATAAATAACCCTTCTTTTTTTTCTTCTTGTTTTGAATATCTTACTTTTTTTTAAGTAAAATTTTAAGTTTAATCATTTTTTTTCACTTCTATTATTCATGTCATTAAATAAAATTTTGATGTCATTACAAAATAACCTGCATGATACGAAAAGATAATTTACAAGTTATGAAAGATAACATGTAGGTTATAAAAGATAAACATGCATGTTATAAAAAGAACCTGTAAGTTATCAAAAGATAACTCGTAGGTTATAAAAAGATAACCCAAAAACTATTAGTGACATAAAATAAATTTAACAGCAGTGACTAAAATAAAATGACGTCAATTTATTAATGGCATTTTTAAAAATTTCCCTAAAATATGTAGGAGCCATTTTAGCCAACATAGAGAAGTCATTGATAGTGGACCAAGAGTTACTCAACTGTCCAAAAATTGGCCGCAAAAGTCATTTGGTCAATCTAAATGAGAAAAAGAAACCTAAATGAGATATTTAGGCAATATGTCATAGCCTTTACACTCTATTTAGTAAGAATGAAAGAAAATAGGAGGGAAAGGAAAACTATAATACATAGAAAATTAGAATGATAGAAAAGATTTTGATTTTCTCTTGACTTGTTTGGTATGACAGGGAAGAAAGAAAGTGAATCTACCTTCCCTTGTTTGATATTAGAAGTGAAACTAAAGGGATGGAAAAATTATTATTGGTGTAATTACTTTTTTGTCCAAATGAGGACAATTTTGGATGAAATATGAGGATAATTTAGTAATTTGACTTCATTTGTGTAGTTATCCATATTTTTCTTCCTAAAATTCACCCACTTTTGGAGGGATTGAATATGGTGGGATCCACCAATAAAAATTTTCCTTCAATTTTCTTTTTATTCACAATTTCCTTTCTACCAAACAAGCTAACTTCCCAATTTTCATCCCAAAATCCCTCTAACATTTTATTTCCTTCAACTTTTCATTCATACCAAACACACTGTTAAGGTTGGATTGACTTTTATCATGAGTATTAAAACTCTTACAAAATATACCACACTAACATCATTTAAGTTTTGTGTATTGAGCAAAATTATGCTTCTAATTTTGTGTATTTGATTCAATATTTTTAAATTTTATGAGAGTTTTATGGTTTTTCATGTATATATTTGTGATTTTTATGGATTTTACGATTTTTAAATATCTTTAACTGTAATATTCTCTGCAATAGTTTATATCTCCTGACATATGTCAATTCAAGCCTAAAGCTTAGGATTTTAGCACATTTGCCTCTTAAACTTGTCGTGGTTTAGCAAATTGCCGCCTAAACTTTAAATTTTAATAAGTTACCCCTTCAACTTGTAAAGTTGTTGTAATATGCCACATTTTAACAACGATTGTTAATTAGTGTAAAAAAACACGTTCAGTCAAAAAATTTAACATTCTAATTCAAATATAACACAAGTATTTTAATATCTCAATTTTTAATTTTTAAATCTAATAAAAATTTTGAGAAAATTTAATTAAATGAGGTACATTATAATAAATTTACAAATTTTAAAATAATTTATTAAAATTAAAAATTTTAAAAATAATTTACTAAATTTTCAGAAGAAAACCCTAGAACTTATGTTATTTTGCAGAGTGTCCAAGACAAATACCCTTCAAATACACGTCTTAAATTTTCACCCAAGCTCACCAATTATTTTTCAATATTTTTCTGTTAAATCCAGTCAAAGAAGTCTCGTATATTCGACTTGGAATCTCGTTTTGGATGTCGGAGAGCTCGAGAATATAGCGGTTGGTACTTGGCACTTCCAACTTCATTCCAAAACCAAAACAAATTTCAAACAAAACAAAACAAAATTACGCACAACAGAATCCGAAAATGAGACCCAACATTGTTTCTGAGGTAAGCTCTCTCTCTCTGATCCAACTCTTTCTTGATTTCAATTCTCGATCTCTATCGTCAATAACAGATCCATGAAGAACCCTAGCTTCGGTTTCTTCCTTGATTCTCCGTTTGGTTACCACGAAAATGGAGAAATTAATTTCACCAAACTCTCGGTTTTTGGACTTGAGAGCGCTTGAAGTTTCTATTTTTGAACCAAAAAGAATAAAAATTTTGGATAAAAAAGCCAAAATTTCTAGTGTTTGGGGTTTTGTTGAAATTTTGTCAGTGTTGGTTATGTTATGGGATTTTGGTATATAGGCAGGATTGCAGACGAGGTTGGGGCAGTGGTGGGAAAACATTCCGTTCCTTACTTCAGCTATTGTGGTGGTTTGTGGGATTATTTACTTGGTCTGCCTCTTGGTTGGATATGACTCTTTCTTTCAAGTCTGCTTTTTGCCTTCTGCGGTTGTTTCACATTTCCAAGGTAAGGTACCAACTAACTTGTAGTTAGTTTAAAGAAGAAAAAAAAATGAAAAGTTATTATGCTAAGCAAAATACCCAGAATGAATTTTTCTTGATGGCCCTTTTGTTATCATGTAAATGTAAATTTGTTTGTTTTGTTTAGTTGTTATGTAAAAAGACTAATGCTCGGGATCCCATTTTCAATTATTATTTCGACTTTTTAATACTAACTGATGTGGCATGTGATATGATTTGTGGACTTTTCAGTACTAACTCACGTAGAAACTTATTAAAAAAAATGTACCAATAGAAGGATGTCGACCCATTTGTCATGTCGGTTGGTATTAAAAAGTTGGGATAAATGTTGAGGTCCTTGGCATTATTGTGTATGAAAAATCAGCTCACTTTTTTATTCTTGAAAGCTTTGCCAATGACCCTCTTGCTCAATTGTCTAATTGTTTTATTAGGAGAATGTCTTTAAGTAACGTAAACTTTATCTTTACCTTGAATTTCATGTTTTGTTTTCATTTTTCATTGTGTCTTGCAGTCTACAGGATTTATACCTCCATTCTGTTTCATGGTTCACTGCTTCATGTTCTCTTCAACATGATGGCATTGGTTCCTTTGGGTTCTGAGCTGGAGAGGATCATGGGATCTGTACGATTGTTGTACTTGATAATTTTGTTGGCCACCAGCAATGCTCTTTTACATCTTCTAATTGCACTGTTGGTTGCATATAACCCTTTCCATTCATCTGAATATTTCATGAAAGAGTGTGCAATAGGATTCTCGGGAATATTATTTTCTATGATTGTTATAGAAACAAGTCTCAGTGGTGTCCAATCTAGAAGGTGGGTTTTGTTAATAATCATTTGAAATCTAGTCTTTATAAAGAACGCTATATGTTCTCTGAACTTATGCACGTGCAAATTTGCATGTGTTAAGGAATCTCTTTCCCTTAGCAGTCCTTTCGTCGTAAGGTTTCTGTGTTGGGTTATACTAACTATGTTTTTGTCCCATTTTGCAGTGTCTTTGGACTATTTAATGTGCCTGCCAAATTGTAAGTGAAGGAACATGCACTGAATCCATAAGTGATGCCTGGTTACCTCGTATATGGAAAATCTTTAATTTGATTTCTCTAAAATGCAATGTATCTTGCTGAATTTCACATTTTAGGTATGCGTGGATCTTGTTGATTGTGTTTCAGCTCCTTATGACAAATGTTTCGTTACTGGGACACCTATGTGGCATATTGTCTGGCTTTGCCTGTCAGTTTCCTTTCCTTGTGACAGTTCTTCTCTCTTATTCTGCCATATTTTTTGAGGAAGTAAATGGGAAATGTTATATGTTATCTTTACAATGCAGATACTTATGGCTTATTCAACTTGCTTATGCCTGGAGCATCCTTTTATTCTGCCATTGAGGCTTCATCTTGGCTTGTAAGTGTATTCAGTGGTCCCTCTTGATGACGATAGTCTACACAGTAGGCAGGGAAATTAGTGTAACCGTAACATCATATTTGCCTGCGTTTTATGGACCAAATGCCGATATTTCCGTTTATGCTTAATCTTCTATGGGGCTTCTACAAAATTGAGAGTATAATTTTTAATTGTATGTCCACTCCAGGCACCTTGTGTCAGGCGGCCCAAATTTATTTTGTGCACTGGTGGTAACCCTTCGGGCTATATTCCAACACATTCAAGCCAAAGTACAACATCCAGGTGAGTTCTGCTTTGCACAGTCCAAGTTGACCCCCCTGTCAGATAAAGATGTGTAACTTGATTTAATTTTCCTCAGTGGATTGTTGTCTGGAAATGTATTGAGGAATTTGTCTTCATGGATGCCACAGAGAGAGACATCTGCTCAGGTATCAACTATCAATTACATTCTTTAAGGCATCTAATCTCATGACCGTTTACATTTTTTTCAGTACATTCTTTACAAACTGAGAATTCATGTCTAGCCGACTAGTTTATTTAATATCTGTGTTATATCTAGTGAAAAGTGATACAATCTAACTTTATGAAAATTTAATTAACTTCTACAAACTAAAAGACTTACTTCCTATATTGAACATTATATTTGTTGTAATATCTAATCATAACTTTTAAATATGTATACGAATTTTTTATTAATTTGAAAAAACAAAATCATGGAGTCTTTTGAATTAAAGCAAACAGATGTTCATAAAATCAGAAATTCTTATAGATGGTGGTGTAAAAATATGCAATAGACACAGGATAGTCAAAAGTTATTTTCTCTCTTTGATTGAAGTAAACTACCATTTCTTTATTTCTGTAATTGTTTTCGTCAATATCATCCTTAAATCTTGTAGTTTAAAATTGCTTGCCCGAAGTTGATTAGTCTTTTGAACTTAATGAAATCTGTGTTGTATTATACAGCCAACAGTAGACCCGAGGTTTCCTGGAACAGGAAGGGCACTTGGTTCTGGTCGAACTCAAACAGCCACAGCTGATAATTCAGAATCAAACTTACAGGCTAGACTTTTGGATGATAGTAGCCCACAGCGTTCATCAGACACTGCGACAATTGGCACAGGACAGCAGTTATCAGACGAGAGGTATTATTACAATAACAATTTTATGGTTTGGCTATCTAGATGAATTATAGCTAACCCTTTTGTCGCTGAAAGAATAATAGCTAAGCTTGCTAATTGGTACATTATCACTTTTGAGATTTTACTTTTCAGAAGTCGAGGGTCATGGGTTCCTACGTTAATCATCCTCGATTTTTCTTCATATTAAGAACTTGATTGAGTAGTTGTACAAAAGCAGTAGTTTGTACACTTATCACTGACAGTGGTATCTCGTTTTTTGACTTTTTCTAGACGAGCAGCAGAAAACGCAGCAACAGTAACTTCCGCTATCCCAGCTCGTCATCAGGTTTATTTTCTAGGCCAAAGAGTATGATTCTCTCAGGTTAATCTGGCCTATGTTTATAGATCTTTGCTCATCCATCTGGGTACATACAGGGTTCGGTTGCTTCCGATGAACAAATCCAGAAACTTGTATCAATGGGATTTGAAAGGGTAAAAAGTCAAGTCCTGTAGTTTTATATTAATGTTATTGTGAAAATTTTCATTTGATGTTTTCTTCTTGTTGCTTATTGCATGTCAAACGCTTTGGTTTCTTCATTTCCTAATATCATCTTCTGTATAGCTGAAGGATGTGTAAAGTCAGTAATAGAACATGTTGCCACGTTTTCTACAAACAAATATTTGGAGTCTAAACAATATTTCCCATTGAATATATACTCGCATCGTGATCTCCGGAAGTTTTTAATACAAACACCTTCAAAATAATTTCAGACACAAGTAGAAGTTGCACTAGCAGCTGCAGAGGGGGATTTGAACGTGGCAGTGGAAATCCTTATGAGTCAACAGGTCTGTCTTTTAAAGTTATTTATTGCCATATACTGAAATAAAAATTTCTCATTCTTGTCCTAATTATGGGAATTATTTGCTCATCTCTGCAGGGATGATAAGTAGTTGTGGAACTGGGATGCACTTTTCAGTTTAGCCTGTTTCTCTGTGTCTGTCTGAAAATGAAGTTTTAACATGTGGTTACTATGCAGTTTCTGATTCTTAGTTCTGAATATCGTTTGGCAGAGGGGAAAAGAGGGAACACAGTAGTGAAAACAATACTCAATGTCGTATACTAACGATACTTTTGAAGAAAAAGCACAAATGGCTTTGTAAAGTTGTTTTGAGACTATACATAAACCGGCAAATTTAGTTGAATTTAATTGCCTGTTGTTTTTGTACCGCTTTGGTTCCTATGTTTTCTCATTACTTTCTTTCTCCTGAAGTTGTTCTCTTTCCTTGCTGATAGGAACTGTTCTCTTTCCTTGCTATTAGGAATCAACAGTTAAATTTACATTACTTTTTCATACTTTTTCAACAGAGATCTATGAGTGTTCATATTAAAATCTGTTCATATTAAAAATTTACGACTGCGGCATAAAATTGTTTTATTTATAAATCATACCTTCAAAAATATAACATAATAGCTTAAACAACAATACTTACTGATAAAAATAATAAAAAGAACTAAGAGGATATTTAGTTCATGAATTTAGAACCGTTTTACGTATATTTTTTATGAGAAAAAATATTATAACGAGTCACGAATCATAATTCGAATTATGACTCGAATCTCCCTTCCAAACGGCTCATGACATCCCATAAGAGAAAGAAAAGAAGAAAAAAAACAAACAAACAAATAGTCCCTACCATAAAAGTTATCTCTTATAAATATGCGTTCTCCACAGGCCAAGAGCACATAAGTAGAAAAGAACTTTCTTCTGTTTACATTCCACAGAGTTGATAGCTCTAGGATCTTCTTCAAAAGCATATTAGGCTGCTCTTTTCTTTTCCCCTCCCCTTTTATGCTTTCCATAATGCTAATCCTAATAAGACAAAGATTTGAGGCCTGCTTTACCTTTTCTTCTTTATCTTTTATCCTTTCTTTTTTTTTTTTTTTTTTTTTTTTTTTTTTTTTTTTTTTTTTTTCATTTTTGCCCCTGCCCTGCTCCCTTTGGAGTGGTCATTGTTACTTCTCTCGGTTATTCATCAGTATCGACTTTACATTTGCCCTGTTGCTTCTTTTGGTCGTTTACCACTATCAAGTTTCCAAATCACGGCAGCTAAACCTTTTTTTTTTTAAATTTATTATTACAAACACGCACACCGAAAGTATTGCAACAATATAATACGTTTACAAATTCACACAAAAAAAAAAAAGAACAAAATATTTGTACTTCTGGCATAGCATGAGTAATCGACTAGTGATATTGCAAAAGTAACGTTTGCTGGAAAGCCATTATTTGATGCTCCACACAAAGACAGCACGGCACTATTTGGCAGTTTCCTTCGGCGGCTTCACAATTAGGACTGGACATTTTGCGTGGTGTGTACAGTAGTCGCTCACACTTCCAAGAAATGCTCTGCTCCGCCAGTAACATCACCTCAAATGATTAATCTTAAATATATATATATATATATAACTCAAATGATTAATCAAGTCTGGCTGATTTTGACGATTGACAAGTACATTACAAGTTTGTGGTGGGGGGCATAACTCCCACGGAAAGAGCACTAGTATACTAGTATGTGTGACTCTGGTCACTATCACTGTTAAGATTTTTTTTAATAAGAAATTAGGGTTTTTGACACTTTTATCCTTTAAATTAAATTTCACAATTATCCATTTGTCCTTGTGTTAAATTATCCCTAATTGTAAAGGAATCGTGTTAAGATCTATAAAGAAACTCCCTTGACATGACTCCCTTGACATGACGCGCTCCCATTATCATTTAAAATTTCATTTAAAATTTTAGAAAAAACACCCTTCACATGATGTGATCCGATAATCATATTCCGGGATAATTTAAAAAACAAAATTAAAAAGTTTTAAGAGTGACTTACTAATCGATCAAAAAAAATGTCAGGAGTAGTATGACCTAATAGAATTTAAGAGCATAATTTGACCCAAAGTTAACCTATTAGATCTTAAATCTTTCAATCTTTCAATGTATATAAACAATTTCACATTCTCATCCATCCACTTTTTATGTGGGACAACACACGTGCACTTTTCTCAACAACTTCCCCCTCATATACATGTTCACTGAGCTCCCTCTCGAACCAAATTTTTTAGTCCAAATGGGAGCCAATTTTGGCAAAAAAGAGTTGAAACTATGCGAGTCCATCAATGTTCAACCATCCACACTTACAATAACACCAACTGCAGGAACACCAACTCTCCACTATTGAAGCAACGTTCGAACTACAACTAAGTGTTACCACTTAACCCATACAAATCATCAACTTGATACCACTTGTTGAGAAAACACCACATGTAAAATTGACCAAACATACTTAGGAGCCTGACTTAACCTAAAAAGTTAATAAGTTAATTAGGTCATTCGATGTATATAAACCACATCACACCCTCTTTCCACTCTCTTTCCATGTGGGATGAGACACATAAGACTTTAAAAAAGTGCATTTGAGAGTGAAATTAACACAAGCCATCTATTAACTTTTGTTTTTCTTAAGTGTTATTTTTGTGATGGATTGAAAAACACGAAAACTGATCTTAGTGATAGATGCTGGTATTGCCTAATTATATATGACTGAATTTCAGTTGCTAAGTAGTACAGGTCAAGTTAATAAAGAATATATATATATATATATATACATAGATACATATATATAATGATGGAATAGAAAATATACTATGAAATATTACCTCTTGATGGTTCCAAGGCCACGGCTACCCACCACGAGGAGATCCACATGCATTTGCTCCGTAGCCTGACAAATCCTGTCCTTTGGATCTCCCTCCAGCATTAGTGTTTCTGCTTTGATATTCTGCGATATCATATATTATTGATACATATCATAATAGTACTCCATTGACGTGATCAATGCGTCCTATATAAATTATGGTTATTACCAAAATATACACAGATATAGGTAGATGCGTGATGAGCACTATATAAATTAAGTACTGCTATATATATATATATATATGTACATGTATCATGAGTATATGGATATTAAGTTACCGGCTTCTCTTTACACATCTGTAATGCACGAGACAGTAAAGCTGCAGAATTCTCTTCCTGGGCTTTCCTCACTGATTCCACCACCGTAGTTGTCGCATAAACGGCTGCTAACCAAAACCAAAATAAATAAATAAATTAATAAATCTCTCTAAAGAGATGCATGCTCCTATTTCAAATAAATATGTCACTAATTGCAATTTTTAGCAACCTAAATTTCATACAATTAATCTCAATTCACGCACCCAATAGCTTTATTGGATTGATCAGGCTAAGTGGCGGATATAGCTAATGGAAAAGGTACTAAAAGAAAGAATAAAGAATCTAACGTTTAGAATCATATATAAAGTAACTTTTCCATTAGCTATATCCGCCACTTTATATATGAGATTTCTCTGATTGAGACTAAAAAATGAACTACTAAAATTTTTTATTTAAAGTCGTTACATCTGTATCAGTGCATACTATCTGCATAGTATTTTAACCTTGTGATTTTAACAGGATTCAACCCACCTACAAGGAGGCTCTCGTAAAGACCAGATATCTAACATATTATAGATTGCATAATATTATAGCCTACTATACTAGAAAATTTGTAAAATTTTTCAGTTGCACACATTAAAAGATCATAGGGCCGGTATGAATTATGCCATATATATTGAAATTGAATATAATTTGGACATGCATGTGAATGAAAAAGATGATACGTCCTCCTAGGCGCGCACTGTACAAACCGGTTCCACCTGGTCCGGCGGGGAAGCCATAGTGCACAAAAGGCTCCTGAACATGGACCAGCACCACCATGTCAACCTCCTCCGGACTCGCCTCCTCCGTCTTCTCCGCCGCCGGCTCCGGCGTCACGAACACGTGGTCCAGGGCCCACTTTAGGGCGTGGAAGCTGAAGTCGCTCTCGTCCATTGCCACCATCACTCTCATCGGCTTCCTCTTCTTCATCACCATCATCTTGCTCTGATCACTGCCATCCATATTTGACAACAATAACGTCCTATGCTAAGTACTTCTCCTGGGTAACCTGCAGTCAAGTTATAAGTCAACAATGATATATATCTATCGTACATTGGGATGATATATGTGTGTATATATATGTGTATATATATATATATATATATATATATATAGATGTGTGTGTGTGTGAGAGTTTGAAGAATACCAGGTGGAAGTGAAAGGGGTTCCGCGTGGGAGTTGCATGGTTGATATGTTGAGAAGAGGGGGCTTGTACGTGGCGAACATGCACGTAGAAGTTTCCAATTCCACATGCACAAGGAAATAAAATAAAAATCAAATTTGAGGACCACCTCCAACTAACCATCATGTGTATAACAATTGGCACACATTTGTCATATGTTGAATACATTGAATATAGCAATTATAATACATCATGTTGTGTGTAGGACTGTAGGAGTTGAGAATTTTCTGTCTACTAATTCCTTTTCATACTATACAATACAATTTACAGGGTAGTTAGTTATATATAAATATACTCTATAATTTAATTTTTAAAAAATTTATTCCTCTATTTTAAAAAATTTAAAAAGATATCCTTTAGATTTAAAAAATAATTCAATTTTTCGTTCACCTATTTTTAAGGAAAAAGACGAGAGACGAAAAAAAAAACCCTTAAATAGTTCAGACAAAATATTTCAAACATTTGAAGAATATAATTAAAGAAACATTAAAACAAATCATAAAACTCAAAAAAAAGAAAATGATCTGCAGAGTACCCCCGTCCAAACCCCACCATATCCGCGCCGTGCCGCCGTCCCCGAACACCAAACTCCCAGATCCACGGCACACAGTACAAGCTATTATTATTATTATTATTTTGCTAAATTAAAACAGTTCAAACAATTAATTAACATGTCTTTATATATATAGTTTGATAAGTATGATATTTATTTAAAAACCTCCTATATAAACTACATACGTGATGTATTCTGTTGAAAACCTAAATGAATTTGAGGGAAAACCTTCAATTGCAAATATATATATCATAACAATTTTAGAGTCATTTTGTCAAAAAATTAAAAGAACCAGAATCAAGTTGTTATCCACTAAAAGTTTGAGACTAATAGTGCCAGTGCTAGTTACAAGACTAAAAGTCATTGAATCAACTTTGCCCTGTTTGATTCGCGAATTTGAATTTTATTGATTTGAACTCTTTGATTTGAATAGAAAAATTCAAACTATGTGATTTAAATTGTAGTTTGAATCGTCGTTTAGATGTGTAGTTAAAGTTTTAATTTGAACGGGAAATACAATTTGAATTTGTATTTGGTAGGTATGAAAAGTAGAGAGAATGGACATTTTTTACTGTTTAAAAATGGTTTGAAGGGTTAAACTTGAGGAGGAGCTAAACTCTAAGTTGAGCGTTCCCATATGTTTCATTAGTTTAGTTCAGTTCAACTTAGTTTGAACAATGAACACAGTTTGAACTGACGTTTGGTAAGCATGCAGTTTGAATTATATTTTTCGTTTGAACTGAATTAAACGGCCTAACTTAAAGTTTAGCTCCCCCCTTAAGTTCAACCGTTCAAACTAATTTTGAACAGTGAAAAGTGCCCACTCTCTCTGCTTTTCACACCAACCAAACACAAGTTCAAATTTTATTCCCTGTTCAAATTAAAACTTTATCTACGCATCCAAACGTCAATTCAAATTACAATTTAAACCACACAGTTTGAATTTTTCTATTCAAATCATAAAGTTCAAACTAGCGAACCAAATGGAGGCTAACTCAGTTCAAACTGAGAATATAATTCAAACTGCATGCTTACCAGACACCAGTTCAAACTGTGCTCACTGTTCAAAATGAGTTGAATTGAACTAAACTAGTGAAACAAACAAGGGCATTATATGTTTTTACATTGCTGCAATTTCACGTCGGTAAGAAAAAATTTTGTGATGATTGCATCATTTTCAAGGATATAATTGGATTCTATTGGTCTAAATCTCCATTTATTAAAATCTAATAATGCATTAACAATCATCCAATTAAACTACGAAGATTTTTCGTCCTTTTGTGATGAGTTTAGAGTGTAATTTTTAAATGCATCAAGTTTATTATCTATGTTTTCAGGATCTAATTAGTTATGTCATGTGTTTAGAAAAACTAATTAAGTTATCTACTAATTAGCTATTTATGCTCTTAATACAGATGAGCTAATTTATTTTGAAAGAATCTCCTTTTATAGAAATTGTTATTTATTAAACACTTTTTGTTTATTAACAGCTTCTATATTGTCAAAAAAAAAAAAAAAAAAAAAAAAAAACAACCAATCTAAAAAAGTTTGAAACTATCGGTGCTAATTACTCATCTTTAACAATCTAATAGCAATCTCCAAATGCAAGGCTAAAGTAAACAGACGCTAAAATAACAAATCACCATTACGCGTGCGTAACAAAACTGCTAATATATATCCGAACAGTTTTCATGCTGACTTGTTGTGTACCCGTGTGTCTCTTGGAGACGTGTAAATTTAATTCAATACCACTTATAAATTAGTCTAATTATATATATTTAACTCATATCACTTTTAATTAAGTATAAATTAGACTCAAATCTTTTCATAATAATGATTTGTGCGAATACCAAGACCGTTTTAAGAGTATAATAATGATATTTAGTAATTGTATAGCATGAACTCTATAGTATTGTGTGTTGGGCGTTTTTCTCAGATGACTACACTAATTTCCCTTGCAAGTGTTTGTTCATCAGATTATAGTTCTCTTGATTAATCACTTCCGAAAATAAAACTTCTTTAATGTTGCGTCTTAAAGCTCCTTTCTTTCCAATGGGATTCAAGAATCCAATTAGAGAGAGATATATATCATATGCAATTAGTGCTAGTAATATATCCCAACAAAATGTGCCAAACATTTAACAAATATTCAGGGGCTGTTTTTTTGTCCTTTTTGAGTTAGGTGACTTGAGTGTAGATTTTGAGTTGAATTTGAGCTATAACTTGAGTTGAAGTTGTAACTTAAGTTTGTGTTTGGTTGTGTATATTTGAGTTATGGTTTGAGATAAGAATCTTTTTGAGTTTGTGTTTGAGTAAATCAAAACTTGAATTTGTATTTAAATAGTATTTTAATAAAAACTCAATGCTGATGGAAAATTTTAATAGGGTATATGGGTGGGGTATTATTCATCTTTTCGTTGTCAACGCATAGAAAAAAAAAGCATCTCAATCAGAATTAAAACGAAAAAGTTATAGTATTTTTAAGAATAGAAAAAATACTGTTCATTAATTTGAGTTCGAGTTTCTGAACTTGAGTTGAAGGGAAAACTTGAACTCGAGTTCAAACTCAAGTTCAAACTTAAAAGAACATGAACTTAAATAAAGTTGTAACTCGAGTTGCTTTTTTTGAGTTTTTGACTCAAAAAAGGGACAGCAGAACAGCCTTTAAGATATCCGAGGACTATATATATATATATATATAATACTAAGCAAAATCTTTCCTTATGCCAACTAAAAGTCGAAAGAGTACTAACCAAATCCTGTGGTGATACTAAGACCATTCCAATAAATATTTATGGCAACATATATGGTTCCAATGAGCTTTACTTTAGCTTTATTGTCTCTTGAAATTTTTGTAGTTCCGTTATATTGGACCAACTTCAATAAAGGATATACTTGAGTATGAGTGTGACCACATGCAGGCAACCATTTATTTGAGAAAGTTAAGGAGCTTATAATGAGTTTAATTTGATTCCTAAGACTATATTATGACTAATCTTTTGTACTCCCTTTAGCGGACAAAAACATGATGCTCTATCCGTAACTTGGTTCCATTATCTGCTTAAAACAAGGGACTAAAATGTGTACTTATTTGCTACTAAATGTTTGTGCAGCTCCTTCAAAAATATATTATATAATAAAAATAATAATAAAAGAAAAAAGAAAGAAAAAAGTTTGAGGGACCAATGTTGACGGTTCCCTCAAGGACTCATCTAGTAAATAATGTTTAAAAAAAAAAAAAAGTACCTATTTTACTTATAAGAATGGAATTGAAATATTATAGTTTTCTAAAATAACATTATTACGTTTTAATTGTTATAATGAATATCACATTTTCTGATACATAATCTAGTGATGATTATGTTAATAATTTTAATTTTTGTTATTTCTAAAATATTTTAATTTATTTTTTCGTGTTTCAACATGATTACTAAGACTATACTGCATATGTCTAAATGTTTCAAAATAAAAAAGGATTATGATAAAAAATAGTAATTGTGGTAGAACTCATATTTTTGAAATTTTTAAGCAAGTAACATATTTTTTAAAACACTTAAAATAAATAAATATATTACTGATAAATAGGTGTAAATACTTTATTCATTGATAAATGCTCCTTGTAAATAATTTATTTATATAGGTTAAATAAATGTTTATTAATAAATGTGCTAGTTACTTCAATCATTTTTAAAAAAATGTCATTTACAAATTTTATTTTTTTAAGTACTTGATTTATTAAAAATATTTATTTTAAAAAAATTTATTATTGACTAATTCTAATCTAAAAAGTAGAAATACATGAACTTATATTAAAGAATAGAAATAAAAATGAACATCATGGGCAATTTTAAAATTACCCTTTTACAAGAAAAGAGAGAGAACATAACGATTTAGATGGAGTGCTGTCCGTACCTCGTGGCTAAGCCCACCAACGGTCCAGTATGTCTGAAGTCCAACTCATGGCCCATTCCCAATACCACCGACCGACTACTTCCGAAATAACTAAACGACTAAAAAAACAAAAAACAAAAAAAGTCGTCGTACGCTAAAAAAAAACAATATTAAAGATTAATTTAAATTTTTAATTTGAGTGAATATGTAATTTTATATAAGAATTTTTTATTATAATAAAAAATTAAATATGATTATTTTTAAAATTTTTTTATTATAATAAAACTTAAATTTTAAATTAAAATTAGTGAAATGAATCGAAATTTAAATTAGTTTATACAATTACAAAAAAAGCCACCCATAAAATTTTAAGGCAGTAACAACTCCGGATTAAATTTCATTTATTTTATTAATTTAAATTTTTAATGTAAAAAATTTTTATAAAAAATCACTCATAAAAAATTTTCGTATAAAATTACATCTTAATTCTAATTAAAAACTCAAATTTTGAAATTGAACAAAGACTCCCCTAATCAAAACGCACGTGACCTGCATTCCTACCCCGCCACGTCATCCGCTCTGCATATTCAGCCCACCCTATTTCCTCAACGTGGCACTTTCTAAATGGTCCATGCCCACCCGATATCGCATCGGAGAGAAACTTCACCACACCCTCACTTTATATCCTTCCCGTTTTGCCCCCAAACTTTTCCCAATTCCCGAAACTACCCCTCCCTTTCACTCTCTCTGCTCTCTCTCTCTCTCTCCTCTCTTTCTCTCCTCTCTCTCTCCTCCGAACCCGAGAAGTAAAATCTCAGACGCTTTTTTCGGAGCCAGTTTTTTTTTTTCTTTTCCCCCTTCGGGAGTGTTGCTGTTACCTCCTTTTTCTTGCAAAGCCTCACTTTGGCTTCTCTCTTCTTTCTCTCTCTTGTTTCTCTCTCCTTCAAATATTCATCGTCTTCGCGTCTCGGATTCGTCGATCGGAGGAACCTAATCTCTCCATCAATGACTATGATGACTCCTCCGCCGTTGGATGTACATACCGATACTTCTTCTTCATCCTTTGCGTCTCAATTTTTTAAGCTCTGAGCAACTTTTGTGTTGTTAATTTGTGTGTTTGGTTCGAGTTTTTCCGGTTTCGTTTTTTGGCGATTTGTTGATCGCTCCTAGGGGTTTTCGATTCGTCGCAGGCTTCTGAATTGGGCGAGAAATTTAGAGTAGTTCTCTCGCTTAGAGTGTTGGATTTCTAGGGTTTTTGATTTTGCTTGGATGGATTGGATTAGGTTTTGCTCGATCAGAGCTCTGATTTGCGTATTTGATTGCAGCAACAAGAGGATGAGGAGATGCTCGTGCCGCATTCGGATTTGGTCGAGGGTCCTCAGCCAATGGAAGGTTCATTTCTATACTTTTTTTTTGAATTTCTTTTCACTATTTTGGAAATGAAAATTCAGTGAATTTTTCGAACTTAGCGAGGTTTTGAAGTTCGCAATGTTGCCCAATTGATCTGCAAAGTCTTGGTTTTTCTACGAGTTTAATTTTGCAGCAACATAGAGTTTTATCGGCGATCGGTTCGATGTTAGGGTTTTGATGTTGTTGTTTCTGTGAACCGAATTGTTTCTGATTTGATGGTGGCAGCTCAAGTGGAGCCCGCTAGTACGGTGGAGAATCAAACGGTGGAGAATCAGCAAGTGGAGGATCCTCCGACAATGAAATTCACTTGGACAATTGAGAACTTTTCTAGGCTGAACACGAAGAAGCACTATTCCGACGTTTTCGTTGTTGGCGGTTACAAGTGGTACTTTTTTAGTTTCATCCGTGATAGATAAGATCATAGGAAATGAGTCGCATGTTTTTTTACTTGCCCTGACTTGTATCCTTTGGTGATCGGATTTTTGACTTGCCTTGGGCGGTTCCATTCAGGCGAATTCTAATCTTTCCCAAGGGCAATAACGTGGACTACTTGTCAATGTATTTGGATGTGGCGGATTCTGGGAATTTGCCATATGGATGGAGTAGATATGCGCAGTTCAGCTTGGGTGTGGTTCATCAGATTCATAACAAGTACTCAATTAGAAAGGGTATATTCTTCCTTTGTTCGCTACCTTATCAGTTATCATGTTAAGAGTTTCGTCTTTTTGTTCTTTAGTCATTTATTGCTGGATTTTCCAAGTGTATTTATGCGCTTGTATATCGGCGATTCTCATAAAGTCGCTCTTTTTTCAATCCGTTTCAATTTGCACGTAATTCCCTAAACTGGAACTTACTTTCTTTACCCTTTTGCTTATCCTGGTTGTTTTCTATTTCATGCTGACAGAAAATGGTGAGATGCATGAGGTAAATTTGTTAAAAATAAATGTGACTCCTCGTTTCTCTTTTTTTGCACAACTTGCGTAAGATTCCTTGTTCACAGAAATTTGAATTTGAATTTTTTGATCCAGCTTATACTGATTTGTGATTACTCGAGTTGAGTATGTTTTAGTTACAAAGTTCATCATGTGATAGAGAAGTGGCCCTCGTTGCCAATTATTTATTACCCATTATAATTTTTAATAAACGCGTTTTGACTTGTGGTTTTTACCTGTTATGTGATTTGGTAGACACACAGCACCAGTTTAATGCAAGAGAAAGTGACTGGGGTTTCACATCGTTCATGCCTCTAAGTGAACTGTATGATCCCACTAGGGGGTATCTATTGAATGACACTTGTGTGGTTGAAGCTGAAGTAGCTGTCCGTAAGGTTCTTGATTACTGGTCCTATGACTCAAAGAAGGAAACTGGTTATGTTGGGCTCAAGAATCAGGGAGCTACCTGTTACATGAATTCTCTGCTCCAGACACTGTACCATATTCCTTACTTCAGAAAGGTTAGCAGGTGTTTCCATTTTTCTTCTGAAACTCACAATAAGAATCTCTATGTTTTTAGTTCATATGGATATGCTGATTTTGGGTTTTATTTATCAGGCTGTGTATCATATGCCTACGACTGAAAATGACATGCCTTCAGGAAGTATTCCATTGGCGCTACAGAGTTTGTTCTATAAACTTCAATACAATGATAGCAGTGTTGCAACCAAAGAGTTAACCAAGTCTTTTGGTTGGGATACATATGATTCTTTTATGCAACATGATGTCCAAGAACTTAATAGAGTGCTGTCTGAAAAGCTTGAAGACAAGATGAAGGTAAAGGAGGTTTTCCATCTTGGACTTATAGTGTGTATCTTGTTCTAATTACTGTTTTAATGTGATTGTTTTACTGCTGGTGCAGGGAACTGTTGTGGAGGGGACGATACAACAGTTATTTGAGGGACATCACATGAATTACATTGAATGCATCAATGTGGACTACAAATCTACAAGAAAGGAATCATTTTATGGTATTCTTCTATTGGCGCAAGTTTCACTTATTAAAGAGGTTGAGATTGACTATTGGTATTAGTGCATGTTACAGTTTATATATTACTTGGCAGACCTCCAACTTGATGTTAAAGGCTGTCGGGATGTTTATGCCTCTTTTGACAAGTATGTGGAAGTTGAACGTCTTGAAGGTGATAACAAGTACCATGCCGAAGAACATGGTTTGCAGGTTAGTTTCAATATCGGCCTGACTGAGAACAGGATGTTTAATCTTTTATTAAATTCTGAATTAAATTTCTTTATGCTTTATAACCAAATTATCCTCAATACTGAATTGGACTCTGAAGTTTATTCCTGCTTGGCTGTTATGCTCTTAATCCTTCGCGGAAATGGTGCTTGGTTTGATATGTTTAAATCTGAAAGGCAGCCCAATCTATATCCTAATGGAGCTTGAGTTGCTTTCAGCATTTTCATTTCATCTCATGTGATGCTGCTTTTCACATAATTTAGAAACCTTGCCAAAGCCAGTATTCTGACACATATATTTTCTTGTCAGTTACAAGAAAATATTTTAATGATTATAAATAAACGTTGAATTCTCCCAAATTATTTATTTTTCTTTTTCAATTTCAGGATGCTAAGAAGGGTGTTTTGTTTATTGACTTCCCACCAGTCCTTCAACTTCAGTTAAAGCGGTTTGAATATGATTTTATGCGGGACACAATGGTCAAGGTTTGTTGTTTGGCAGCTTGCCATTTTCTGTATCTTTTTTTAATTCTTTTGTCTGTCTTGATGATATGATGCTTTTTTTGAACTTTGAGTGTGACGAGATTCCTTTGTTTTGAGGTTCCTTCTTTCCGCTCTATGTATATGGCTCACATGTACCTGTGCTTATCCTTCTATTAGTAAATTTATGCCCCTTTGCTTTGTGGTTGGTCTCTTATCCTTCCTCAGGTTGAGTCATAGAATGAGCCATATCTCCTCTGTTGTATGCTTTCATTTGGCTTCTAACATCCTGCTTATTTTGTTGGTTTTTAAATAACTTTGGCTGAACGCCATTTTTTCTAATAATTGAATTATTGAACCAAATTCTTATGCAATGTGTTTGGTCCTTTTTTTCCTTATTTTATGAGAACATCTTGTTAATACATTGACTTCTGTATTTTACAATTTAATGGCTGAAGATTTGGAGGGAAATTAATGCTAGCATTTGGTATATTTTGAATGTTTCATTTATGTAACTTATTTGGGTAAAAAATTCACGACTCAATTGTCAAATATGATATTTTTTTTCTTGTTCAGTTTTCTTATGAACATTTTGATCTAAACTGAATAGGGTCGGGATTGCAACTTTTTGTTTGATTATTTTTTTTGGTTGTATTATTGGTATGGTGAGCATTAACTGACATGCATTTTCTCTTTGTAGTTGGAACTGCTAACTTATTAACAGTTGTATATTATCAGATGAATGATGTCTCTTTTGTTAAAGCTTCGATTTTGTGCTATTTATATTTTTTCCCCTTGCAGATAAACGATCGCTATGAGTTTCCTCTTCAGCTTGATCTTGACAGGGAGAATGGAAAATATTTATCACCTGAAGCAGATAGAAGTGTCCGCAACCTTTATACGCTTCATAGGTATGTCAAACCTTACATGACGTGTGCTGAGAATTTTCTGGTGTTCATTTAGTTCTTTCATCACTTTCCTTGGTATATATTTCCGTGTATTGCATATTGAACTTTATACACTTGCGCAAGTCTCGGAACTTGTCATGTACCTTGCAGTTTTTTTGTTCTAACCTTGGGCTTATTTGCACGTGTGGGTAGTTGTGGAGTTTGTGGGAGAATAGTCAATAGTTAGAGAGCCTAAAAAATCTTATTTTTCCCATTTTGCGTCATGGCATTGCTGGACCCTAGTGGAAGAAATCAAGAAATAAAAGACTTCTACTCACATAGGATTTTGCATCTACTGGTTTAACCTTTAAAGATTCGTCTGCTGTGGCTTTGTACTGTATATTTTTGGATTTTCCATATATTCTTACAACATTCCTTTTGCAGTGTTTTGGTTCATAGCGGTGGGGTCCATGGTGGACATTATTATGCTTTTATCAGGCCGACCCTCTCTGAACAGTGGTATGCATCTGTGATATTGATTATCCTATGTCCATTTTTATGAATTTGCACTCGCAAAATTAACATGAAGACAAACAGAAACTCATTCTTGAAACTTGAGAGCAAGTTATACATTTGATACATAGGAATAATTGTATTCTTTTTTATTAAATTAGGTACAAATTTGACGATGAACGTGTGACTAAAGAGGATGTGAAAAGGGCACTTGAAGAGCAGTATGGTGGTGAGGAGGAGGTACATACCTTTTTAGATTTGTTCCACATTACTACACTTATTCTTAATATTTATTGTTGAATTATTCATATAACTAATTTTTGTCCTATTCACTGTCTTCAACAGTTGCCGCAGACCAATCCAGGCTTTAATAATACTCCCTTTAAATTTACAAAATACTCTAATGCATACATGCTTGTGTATATAAGGGAAAGTGACAAGGATAAAATAATTTGCAATGTTGATGAGAAGGACATAGCTGAGCACTTAAGGGTAACTGGATGAATTTACTTGCAGTTGATTTTGTTTTGACTGTCAGTTTTATGTGTGTCAAAGCATGTTATGTAGTCAAACTGATATGCATTTCATTTCAGTTAAGATTGAAGAAGGAACAAGAACTGAAAGAGGACAAGAAAAGATATAAGGCACAAGCCCACCTTTTCACTATTATAAAGGTATTGGGTTTTGCCTTTTTGCTATTCCGTGGTTTTTTTGCTTTGCAATACTAGTTGGGACTTGCACTATGGATGGCTGAGTAAATTCGCTGATGCATTTAGGTTGCACGAGATGAGGACCTTGCTGAACAGATTGGGAAGGATATATATTTTGACCTTGTAGATCATGACAAAGTTCGTAGTTTCCGCATACAGAAACAGACACCCTTTAATGTTTTCAAGGTACCATTTATACTTCTTGTTTCTTAGACACTATTATATCTCCTAATGGCATTGCTAGTGTCTTTGTATATTTAAGTTATGTTTACCCATAACGTTCGCAATTTTTGTGCCTTTTGTCATCTAAAGCTGTATGGTTTCTCGGTTGCAAATAGTTTGTAGGAGGTTTTGTTTTACAGTTGGTATCTTCACTTTAAAATATCCATGCAGTTGAATGTTTTGGGCATTAACTTTCTATTTTAATTTAAGGTGTTTGTTCTTCTGGGATTCTCCTTCATTCACAAGTATCCAGTCAACTTTTTATCCAGAGAAACGTTAAGCCTTTTTGATTATCTGTTTGTCTTATTTTTCTGTGAGTCTTGTTAAATTAAATTGTATTTTTAAGTTGTATTTAGTTTTCAATGACCTACCTTCTAATAATTTACAAATTAGTCGCATCTATGTAATGTAGTTGCTTGCTTAACTTGTGTTGTTAAAATTAACCAGCTCACAAATTTCCCAACCACTTCCTCATTTTTTTCCTAGAAGAATCTAGTTTTAATCAGGTATTTTTTTGGGTCACAGGAAGAGGTCGCAAAAGAGTTTGGAATACCTGTTCAATTTCAACGCTTCTGGATTTGGGCAAAACGGCAAAATCATACATACCGCCCTAATAGACCTTTGACACCACAGGAGGAAACACAATCGGTAATTTCATGTTTGCTTCTCCTTGTGCCACGCTGGCGTTTTAATAAATGCTTACTGGTGTTTTGAATTGCAGTAGTACAGTGCAAATACAGGCCTTATGCAAGCTGATAACAATTTCATGCCTTTTTTTAGGTTGGACAGTTGAGAGAGTTCTCAAATAAGACACATAATGCGGAGCTAAAATTGTTTTTGGAAGTAGAGTTGGGACTGGTATTTTTCATTTCATTTGTGTTTGAGGCTTCTTTATCACAGTACATACTTCTGTAAATAACTAATGATTTCATCATGCTTCAGGATTTACATTCTATTGCTCCACCTGACAAAACAAAGGAAGACATTCTGCTATTTTTTAAGCTTTATGATCCTGAGAAAAAGGAGCTACGGTACTCAGAACCCGTTCATGTCCTTTTGCATATTTTCTCATTTTCTTTCATGCTTTCTGACTCAATTTCTTTCATGTTGCAGATATGTTGGCAGGCTTTTTGTGAAGGGTACTGCCAAGCCGATAGAAATTTTGGAAAAACTTAATCAAAGGGCTGGCTTTGCTCCTGATGAAGAAATTGAACTTTATGAGGTCGGTTTCATTTCAACCTTTTCTTAAATATATGGCATGTCATTACTCCTATTTGGTTGTAGTCACTACTTTTTTCTTACATTCTTTAATACTAATTCTTACTCAAAATATCATCTATGTTCTTATGATACATTCAGGAAATAAAATTTGAGCCTTGTGTCATGTGTGAACACCTTGATAAGAGGGCCTCTTTCCGGTTGAGTCAGGTACCACATGTTATCCTGCATGCTATATATTTCTTTAACTAGTTTAGTTTGACTTAGAAATTCACCATTTTGGTGCATTTTGTTTTCAGATTGAAGATGGGGACATTATTTGCTTCCAGAAAGCTGCTCCACTTGAAACTGAAGAAGAATGCAAGTACCCAGATGTTCCTTTGTTTTTAGAATATGTCCACAATCGACAGGTACCTTCTGATATGAATTTTCTTTAATTTGCCAAAGGAGAATTAAATTCTCATTTATTTATTTATTTGGATAATAAACAAAACCTTTATTGATGAAAATTAATCAAAACAAGGTGACGAGGAGAGATCTTTAAATTGCCAAAGGAGAATTAAATTCTCATTTATGCTGTTCTGGGTTAAATATTAGCTGAACCATAATATTTAAGGTTTAACAATCAGTCCAGTAATCCTGCGTTGACTATTGGTAGTCCAGGGACTTAAAGCATACATATATTCTTGCATTAGTTAATTAATTAAAAGACTGAGCATGGTATTTCACCTCCCTTTACTTTGGATTTTTATTTTATTTTATTCCAGGTTACCTATCCTTTGTACAACCTCGAGTATAATTATTTTGCATGATTTGATGCTTTGTAGATTGTTCACTTTCGAGCATTGGAGAGACCAAAGGAGGACGATTTTTGTTTAGAGTTGTAAGTTACTCGTTTGAAGAAAGTTTCCTCTGTATAATTTATATGAAAATTCATTTTGGTGGTGCTAAATGATATTCTCCTTCACTTTCATCTTCTAGATCAAAAATACATAGTTATGATGAAGTGGTGGAGAGAGTCGCTCGCAGAATTGGTTTGGATGATCCATCTAAAATCAGGCTCACTGCTCATAACTGTTATTCTCAGCAACCGAAGCCCCAACCTATCAAATTTCGAGGAGTAGAACATTTATCGGATATGCTAGTCCATTACAATCAAGTATGCTGATCTGTGATCGAGCTTTTTCTAGCTTAATTTGCTTACTCCTATTACTTATGGCTTGTAATATTATTTTTTGATCTTTTTGACAGACCTCTGATATCTTATACTATGAAGTTTTGGACATCCCCCTTCCAGAATTACAAGGTCTAAAGAACCTGAAAGTTGCTTTTCATCATGCAACAAAAGATGAGGTCCGAAAAAAGTCTGTGGTCTTCTGATATCAATTATGTGTTTCCAGCTCATAATAATCTTGTTTAAGTTGTCTCTAGGTGGTGATTCACAATATCAGATTGCCAAAACAGAGCACTGTTGGAGATGTGATCAATGTACTTAAAACGAAGGTAACTTGTTCTTCCTATACTGATATTCTTTTTATTGTGTTAGTCAATCAATCCAAAGAATGAGAACAGGGTTGTCCATAGAACCTTATCGGTATATGGCAATTCTGAAACAGGTAGAGTTGTCTCGTCCAGATGCAGAACTCAGACTGCTTGAAGTTTTCTATCACAAGATCTACAAGGTACTGCCGTATTGCCGAAATTAGATTCTTAATATACACAGGTTACATTATGTTGTGCAAACCAGACATTTGACTTTTCTCATGTTTTGTTACCATAATTTTTCTTTGTGATTTTGCAGATCTTTCCTCACACTGAAAAGATCGAGAATATAAATGATCAGTACTGGACTTTGCGAGCGGAGGAGGCAAGAATCTTTTTCTTTTTTTTTCCTACCCTGTTTCTGATATTGTTCAACGTGAATAATTTACAGAGCAACTCTCCTTTTTTGTTGGCACTACGTACATTTTGTTTCTAGCTTTCATTCTTTTGGAGTTTTATTCTTGTACCTGAAAAAATTTTGGTCAAGTTTGTGAGTTTGAGAATATTTGAGAAGCTTGTCTTTCTATGTCATTTTGGTCTGAATTATTTCTGAAACAATTGATTGTAGTAACGGTTTTATTGTCCAAACTGGCATCTCTAATTTTGTATTGGTTTCGGGGCTTGATTGATTTTTATTTAACGCCTTTGATTTGTAGCCTGGTTTTCTCCTCTTTTGAGTTTCAGATTCCAGAAGAAGAGAAAAACCTGGGTCCCCATGATCGCTTGATTCATGTATACCACTTCACGAAGGAGACTGCGCAGAACCAGATGGTACTAACTTTGAAGATCTTAATTAATGTTTTTTATTAGATTGTTTTGACGATTCATTTGTCACTTTAATTGGAGGTGGTGAATAGTGGTGCGTGCGTACTTGTGTGATTCTTATGTTCATTTGTATCTGTCTACATTTGAACAGCAAGTGCAAAATTTCGGAGAACCCTTCTTCTTGGTGATCCGTGAAGGTGAGACTTTAGCTGAAGTTAAAGTGCGTATACAAAAGAAGTTGCAGGTTCTGGATGATGAGTTCGCTAAGGTAGTAAGCTTTATTAGTCGAATCTAGATTATTGTTCAATTTTGTTGTTGCCTTTTCTCTAATCCGCCCTGATCTACCCTTTTTTTTTTTTTTTTTTTTTTCTGTTATGCAGTGGAAGTTTGCATTCTTATCTCTGGGACGTCCAGAGTACCTGCAGGACTCCGATATTGTTTCCAGTCGTTTTCAGGTCTATAGCTAATCGCAATTCAATTAAATAGTTGTTTTTTTTTTCTTTTAAAGGAAAAAAAAAAAAACAGAATTTAGTTATTAGAAGAGATGCTCGTTATTTGCGTCTACATGTTCACTTTGATATATTTTTACAGAGAAGAGATGTCTATGGTGCATGGGAACAGTACCTCGGGTTGGAGCACTCTGATAATGCACCTAAGAGGGCTTATGCAGTAAATCAGGTAATGCTCGAGTCCTTATTGGAAGAATCCATTGTCCATTTTTCCATGGGATATAAATCGGAAGTGAATATAAAGATGAATACGCAACATAAGCAAACATGACCCAAACTAGCATCAGAAATGTGAGGTTGTGCATACATTTTATACTACAAAGAAACAAAGAACCTTATACTATTCTAAATGCAAAATAAACTGAAACCTTGAATTTCTCATTACTGTTTTGCTTCAAACTCTGCAGAACCGTCACACATTTGAGAAGCCTGTTAAAATATATAACTAAGTTAACTGCTGATGACCACCTACTTGGCTCGTTAGCTTGTACCTAGCAGTCTTCGTGGAAACAGAGACAATTTAATGTGGAAAGTCGGAAATGTCAAGGATGAGAACCAAGTAGAGCATTCAAAGGAGATCATGAAGCACTCACATTTTAGGTGATTTGGCTAGGCATTCAATTGTTGGCTTGTAGGTTGATTTTTCTTCTCCGTTTTCTGCTTTGATGCTTGTGGGGGGAAAAAAAGGAAAGGAGAGACCATCTCCTGGATGTGTATCCTATTTGTTATTGTTACTCCCTGCTTGAGTTCCGGTCTATTTTCTTTTTGTTTTTTGTTTTTTGTTTTTTTTTTTGTCCTTTTTTTTTTGTTTTTTGTTTTTTTTTTTGTCCTTTTTTTTTTGTTTTTTGTTTTTTGTTTTTTGTTTTCTTGTTTCATGTTTTCCTTTCTTTCATATAAAGTCGCCTCCTTACTTTAAGAGGCTGGGGACTTAACATATACAACTCCATTGTAATCTAGCACAGTACATAAGGAGATTTTGAGGGGATGTATATCCGGGTATAGTCGGCTGCATTTAGAACAATTTCTCTTTTCATCCTCAGTTTAGTTGTAATCTTTGTCAGAAAGGAAAAAAAAAAAATTTGAAACCCTTGAACTTTGGGGATGTGTAAAATGTTTGATTTTATAGACAATGCTGGGCTTTAGAATTTGTAGAAAAGAAATTTACTGTTACATTATGGATTGTTTGTAGAGCCTTTTGCTGAAGATTAAAATTGTTGATTCTCTACTTGTGCGAAAAATTCCCTATATGTTTATACAGACGGCCTTTTTTTTTTTTTTTTTTTCCTTCTTTTTTCTGGCTCTGAGCCTTGGTTTTTACCTTGGTATCTTGTATTTTACTCTAAAAGTGTACACTTTTCTTTGAAGTTACAAATGTATATTATCACATTTCATTTAAGCCTGTTTTTGGTCAACATGAAATTTGAACAAAAAATAAAATAAAATAAAATGACGTCGGAAGAGAACAAAAAAGGGGAAAAAATCTAAAAAATTGGAGAGAATAAAGTTACACATTGTTTTTTTTTTTTTTTTTTTTTTTTTTTTTTTTTTTTCTAATCTTTGGTATTTCACTTTTTCTTTTTGGTATGTTTACAAAGAAAAGATGCATATTTTGCCTACTGAATTAAATTTGATGGTACGCGTTTGCAACAATAAAAAATCAAGGATACCTTTTTTGATAGTATACTTGTTGCAATGGTCATTACCTGAAGATACCAGGTAGCTGTAGTTTCTTTCACTAAAATACTTAAAAAATAAAAATAAGAGTGACATATTGGAGAAGAAATTAGAAGGAAAACGAAGAAAACCTTTCGGCATATTTTAGTCTAAACAATTTTTTTGAAGTATGTAAATATATATATATATATATATATAGTGCTGAAATTTTAGACAGGCCATTCGCGACCACCTGAAAAAATTGAATTTGTACTCATTGTCCGAGCCCACCCGCCCGAACCCATTTATAATATTGTATATATATATATATATTATATAATATTATTTATTAATTGTATTGGTACATAAATAATTATTAAATTATTTATTGTAAAAATTATATAAAAATTATATAAAAATTATAATTAAAATTAAAATCAACACACACTATTAACACAATTCAAAAAATTAATTTTGTTTATTAATTTATGATTACCTCGTTAAAAACCTTACCAAGAAAAACCCAATTGGGATAAAAACTTGGTAAGAAAAAAAAGAGTGCAATCATTTTGTGATGAATTACAAATTTTCTAACCTTACAAAGTCTAAATATGCAATATTACAATTACAATGTCCAAAGTAAATAAATATTTACAAATTACAATTTAATTTGAAGCTGAAGGATCATCTTCAAAACTAAATGTTAATCTATTAAATTCATCTATCTATTCTTGGCTTGCCGGCGAAATTGTATCTTGTAAATGTTGATCGGCACGATCTCAATCCTTAATGCACACCAAAGCTTCAACAATATCAATTTGCAATGCGTTTCGGCGTTCCTCAAGTATTCAGCCGGTCGTACTGAAGGCTTGTTCGGATGAAACAGTGGAGACTGGGATCGAAAAAATATCCATTGCCAATCGAATTAGGACTGGCCAAGTTAATGCTCGTGCCCTCCACCATTTAACTAAATCAAACACTTCTCTACTATCATCGACTACTAAGCTCTCGCTAAGGTACGCCATAAGCTCGTTGAAGCCGCCGCCGCTACCACCACCACCTCTTGATGAAGATCCACTCCCAACTTCTCTTTGAGTCTTCTTCTTCTTCAACCTGAAAACATTCATGAATGAATGTAGGTTTTCATCTCTTTGTTACGATTTCTCTCCTCCATAAGCGGTGTTTCTAAACCTATTCTTATAAAAACTATAGAGAGAAAATATTTTATCTTTTTTAAAGGATATTAGTCAGAACAAATGATTTGTAAAAATATACCTAAGTTTTCTAAACCACTTTCTAAACCTTCTACTTTTAATCTAGGATCAAAGATAGTACCAAAACCATACAACATTGGTAATTGAGACCAATATTTTTTAAATTTCATTTCCATAGAAGCGTTAGGAACTCCTAAAATTGGGTCCTCCCTAAATTCACTAAATAAAATACTAATTCTTAAAAGTTAACCTAAAGCTAAAGGTGAAGTTGGGTAATATGTTCCACTAAGTTTTAAAGTAACTTCATGAAACCTACCTAAAAATTGATACAAAGTTTCGGCAATTTGCCAATCATATTGGTCTATATGTCCTACTCCTAATTTTACATTGATATAGTTTGTTATAGCATCTTTATAAGGGAGGCATTGTTGAAACATTATATAAGATTAGTTCCATCTTATAGGCATATCTAGGGCTAATGCTCTACGAGTTAGATTTACTGCTTGTAAGAACCTAAACCAATCTTGTTCTCTTTGGTTACTACCCATGCAATATTATCTCTAATTCTTTTATTGTGAGTAGCCATTGATTTTAAACTGGATTTTACTTTAAATTAATACATGACATGTACAACGTTGGTGAAATATAATACCATCACCGAATAAACTTAAATCATTTTCAAAATATTAAATTGCTTTAGTATTTGAACTAGTATTATCTAATGTTATAGCAATCACTCTATCCCTTAATCTATATTAATCAATGACATTTAAAATTGTATTATATATTATATCGTCGCTATGTGATCATAGAACACATTTAAAACCTAATATTCTCTTATCTCAATCGAAACCTTTGAAATAATGTCCGGTTACAAATAAATAATCTTTGTTGATAACAACATACTAAATATCTACCGTTAACGCAACGCAACCACCAGTAGAGTGTAAAAGGTTGATTAATGCTTGTTTTTCTTGTTTAAATTATTTTAACAAATCTTTCCTAAGAGTAGTTTTTGAAAAAAATTGTGCATTAGGATTGTGTACACTCTTAGGCCTCGTTCATTTCACCGATTCGAGTTTTCAGTTTTAGGTTTCTACAGTAAAAAGTTCTCAGAAAATGTCACATCTAACTTTTTCTGCTATAGTAAAAAGCTCTCAGAAAATGTCACATCTCAGCTCGAATTGAAAACTCGAATCCGCGAAGTGAACGAGGCCTTAATATAACGGTGCAAATTATGATGCTTGACAAAACTAAGTGACTGATCTAATGTTGCTATCAATCGCGTAAGTTCCATACGATTGACTTGTGGATCGTATTTTCAAGTTGTTAGACCCCCGGTTACGCGATCAAATGACAATTGTGTTTGGTAGAGTTCGGATCCGCCGGTTTGGCCACGCTTTTGAAGACACTTTCGGAGTGTCTTCTCAAGTGTGTTGTGCCATGAATAGTGTCACCTTGTAAATTAGAATAACAATATTTACATTGAGTTATGTGTTTAGTGTTACCGTCCTTGTTGACCTCCTCAAATCTGTCGGTGCTATCAAACTGTGAAGGTGCGCTTGCATTTTCTCTTGGAGGTTGCAATGCTTGTAGTAGCATTTGCCTCTCCACGCCCACCATTGTGGCCACGACCTCCACTACATCCACCACAGCCGGGATTTAAAATATTGGACATTGTTCCTCGGGTGCTTGTGTTTGTGATTCCTGCGTAGTAAAAACATTAGTAACAATTTGACTTTGGAGATCAATGGGATTATCACCATCACCAAAGGATTCCATTATAAAAAATAAATTAAAATTAATTTAACAAAAAATAAACAATGAGCTTGAGAGAACTTGAAGTTGAAAAGAGCTTTAAAAGCTTTGAGACTTGAGATGATAGCACTTTTAGAGATAACACTTTAGGATTTTGTGTGAGCTTGTGGAAACATTGTGAGAGATTTGAGAGCAATTGAGATAGATTGAGAGAGATTGAGAGAGAATGTGAGAAATGTTGTGAAGAAAATGTTTAGGGAATGGGGGTATTTATAGGAAAATTTTTGGGTTAAAAAATCATTTTTTCCCCAAAATTCGACCTCCAACGGCTATTTTTGTGTTCGGTGGGTCAGGCATCTCGGGCAACATCACAAAATCAAGCCGTTGTAGTCGGGCAGTCGGGCATCTTAGGCAACGGGCACAAATCTAATCGTTGAAGTCGGGTATTCAGACGGCGGTCGGGTCGAGCAGCAATGGTAAAAAAACTAGCCGTTGATTTGGGCTTTTGGGCGGGCATATCTGCAGACATCGGGCAAGGGGTTTCAACGGGCGGCAGGCATGGTTCGTATTTTGTTCTTCGGGCTGCCCGAGCTCGAGTCCAACCAAGGAAACTGGACGGGCAGACATAGGGACCTGCCCGCCAAACCTAAAAAAATTCGAGTATCGGGCAGACCCGTTGCCCGAAGTTCTAGCACTATATATATACACTAGGAGCTATGAGTTTTTTACCTTGTCAAACACCAATCCACACCACTAGTCCTAATAACTAGTTAAAACAATGTGCTGAGTTCATAAACTTCCTATTGTGCTTGGTATTTTGGACAAGAAATATGCAATCCCCATGTTTCTTGTCTAGAATCGAAAAAATTTCTCGTTTTAGCATGACGAAAGAATATGGCAAGAACTAGTATAATGTTCCTTTTTTTTAGTTACTAGTCTTTGACGCGCGCATGATTCATTTAAAATAACAGTTATACAAATTATTCTCTAAAAAAAAGAAGAAAAAAATCCATAAATAAAAGAAATAAAGATAAAAGCGAGAAAGACTTGGAGTGAAAGATAGGAAAAAAAAAGATATAACTTATATTTTGTTGTGTTTTAAATTAGTTCTATTTTGTTTAGTTTAATTTGTTTTTATTTAATTTGGTGTGATATTTTTCAACAAATGTGAAGTCGACACGTGGCCACTCATTTGAGCGAATCAACTATATAGTGCCATGTGTTTCTCACTAAAAAGGGCGTCCAGTTGTTGACTGACACGTGGTGATTTTACTGAGGCCTACCGCACCGAATCACCTTCTCTAACATAAAAAAATGTTTCATTCAGGGAAATAAGAAAAAAAAAAAAGAGAGAAAAAAAAAAGAAAACTTCAAAAAAAAAAAAAAAAAAAAAAAAACACAACAAAACAAAACAAAAACTTCACTAACGAAACATTCATTAGGAAAACACGATTTAAAAAATTTTAGATAGGGATATGCATGAGAAGAAATTATTTAAATGGGGAATTAAAAATAGCATATTTATAGGGGTTAATTTGGAGAAAAGGAAAAAAAATTATATAATAGGGCAAAAAAGACAAGAATATAAAAAAAATAGACACAAAAAACAAGAGTAGAGGAAAAAGAGAGTATAGTTTAAATATAAGAGACAAAAAAGAAAGTAAAAAAAAAAAAAAAAGATAAAAAAAGATTAAAAAAAAATTAAGAAAGTTAAAGTATTAAAAAAAAGGGTGGAGGGGGTTAACGAAACGGGAGTAACGAAACCCCCTTCCAAAAAAACGGATTGGGCTTTAGTATTGTTGATTGATACTAGCAAATCCACGCGCTTCACGCGTGAAACATCTTTACAATGCTTAATAGTATATTTAAGTAGTAAAAAAGTAATTTCAATTTATTATAAAAATTATGTTTTATTATTCGGGAGATTCTTTTTTACGCTTTGCGAATCAATAGGTCAAGTTTTTTAATTGTTAGATCTACGCATTTTTTAATTTTTACGTGATTTTATACAAATTTAACGCACATAAAACTTGACATACCGGTATGTTAACATACCAGAGAAGTCCCTTATTATTTTCATTAAAATATATTTTTAGTTTTAAAACTAATCAGTTTTTGAAGAGTTAGACTTATACAAAGTAATTTAAATTTATTTTAAAGATAGTGCTTTAATATTTATACAGGTTATAATTTTATTGTGGTTTTTCTAAAATTAACTTATTTTAATAAAAGAATAATATTATATTTTTAGTGTGAAAGCAAAACCTTCAATTATAGAAAATTATGCCTCATTTTATTCAATCTCGTGGTACTTTTATTCTCTCTAACTTTGTCTTCTCTCAAGTTTTTCTTTGCAAAAGAATTTTATTTTCTCTGGTGAGAGAGATTCATTGATAATGAGATGTTTTTGGTCTACGTGCTAAAAGCACGTACCAATAGGTGTTGATTTATCTTCAAAGTTAAGAATATTTTCGTTTGGTTGAAAATATAGCAAAGTACATGTTGTATTTTCTCTTTGGTGTTCATGGTTTTCTATTAGATCATTTCAAATACAACTATTGATATCAATACCATATTTGGTACAGTTGGGAAATGTCTTTTCTTTTTCTTCTTTTTTTTTTCTTTTTTTTTTTTTTTTTACCGGAATGTCAAATGGCACTAATTAAATTGAAAGTGTTCTTAGCATAAATCGAACTATCAAATTACTGTAATTCTTGTTTTATAATGATTTTCGGGAAAAGAATTGTAGCTAAAATTTAGAACAGAAGAAATAATTGAAAACAGGACAAAAAAAATAAATATGTATGGTAAACATTTAAAAACTACTATAATTATTATACTAAACATTAATAAGAAATAAACACGAGTATAAATACCTATTAGAATATTTTATTTGTGTGTATCTTCTTTTTCACGAACCATTGGTGATTTATAACCTACATATTGTTTCCTTTTAACATATTAAACGATAGAAATGATTTTTTTTCCCCTCAAAATGGCTCCTCAAGATAACTGGAAAATATATTTCTATAAAGTAATTAATTCTATATAAACATAAACTTCCAAAATATAAATCTAATGATAAAAAATTGACAAAATAAATAAAGATGAGTAGATCAAGAAAAGAAATTTGTTTGTTCATTAATTACTGAAATCGTCCAAAAATTCATCAAAAGAAGCAAGGCTCCAAACTACACGGTCTACACTCATTGCTTACTAAGTTCAAGAACACCAAGGAGTAACACGTACCCGAAATCCAATTTGGCAAGGATTTACTAAATTGACTCGTGTGTAAAGCACTAAAGGGAAAACACGTATTGAAAATTAACAAGCAAACAGCCTTGATGAAGTAGGAATTATATAGGCATAGATAGATATAATAGAAATAGCTTATGGCATTCTACCACCATCAGCCTATGAATCTCCGTCTCATGGATATCTTAAAGAGGTTGAGAACGAACACATTAAAGCAAAGCAGCAAGATAAGATGTAGAAGGCAGGAAACATCTATCTTCTTCATACTCTGGACAAAGGTTGGCCTCTCGCCAAAATAACTCTTTTATGAAGAAATGCTCCAAGTACTTTGCATAATGGTCAAATGCTCCAAATGTTGTGTTTTGTTATCTATAAAACTCTGTAGGATACCAAACCGTCTATAGTTTCGACTTTCAACCGATTCATGCGAACAAGCAGCAGCACGTATGACCTCTCTTTAGGCCCTATACCAACAAAACAGCATCAAAGCCACCAAGTGAATGTAATCTTGATTATAGGACTATACTGTCCATATAAAATTAGCTACAAATATAAGTCTTTCGAGTATACTTGCTGTTGTGAATTTTACAGGAAAAAGCAAATGGCATGAAATAAGGAATTCAGAGCAGAGACGCACCCAAACCCAGTGATGAAACTTCGTCTTGGTGAAAGAAATTAGTTCCACTTGTTTTCTGGCTCAGGTTTGAATTGATCTTGTCAACAGCCGAGAGCAGATCCTTGGAGTTTAAGTTCACCAGAATGCAACAGAAATTATACAATTTTAGACAAAGTTGCTTGCAAAATTATCCACAGGTAGTAAACTTTGATGCAAATGCAAACAACTACAAAGAAAACGAGATATTTGTTTCAATGCAGAATAACAATACCCACCAGGCCACCAAAAATTAGATATAAAATGCAACATGTATCAACAACGAGCTACTCAGTACAACACTGGAGAATCCGAAATTTCTCATATAGTTTGCATTCAAAAAGTTCCTACTTTGTCGTCTATAAAAGTAACAATTTTTGTGGTGCATTGATCTGACTGTAAATCTAATTATTGCCACCTTTTACTTGACAAGTAATTAGGACATTTTTTCAAAACCAAGAACGGTATTCCTAGCAATAAAATAATAACAATTTCCAAAACAAGATTAAGTGAATCATTGTTATAAAGCTTAAACAGATGTGTGTCAACTCACAGACATATTAAGGAGAAGTCCATACCTCCCATGATGCTAGCCCTTTCACAAAGGACGGAAGACTCTCGTAGTCATCCTTCAATAACTTTATAGTTGATGGAAGAGCTAGGGCAGGCTTTAAATCATCACCAACTTCCTCTACATTCATAGAGAACGACAAAACAGGATCATCAAGTGTTTTTCATGGTCAGAATTTTAACTTCTCAGCAAAACTACGGTATGACCAGTAGTTTACTGGCAGAGTGCAGCCCATTTTCAGGCGTTGGATTACAATAAAATTGATCTAGGCCGTTGAATTGAATTTGAGCCGCTTTTTGTTAGGTGGGATGCAAGGAGAAAAATTTCAACAATTCAAATTGATTTGACCATCATCCAACGTTTGAAAAATTGGTTGCACAGGGCAACTAGAAATGATTAGTCATATTGTAGTTCGCTTGCAAATGTCTCAAAAAAATGTAAAGCTAGCCTACCAAAATCGAAGCGCATTCTTTTCTTTGTTACTCCCATGGTAGGATAATCTGTCTCCTCCAAGTCAAATGCACTGTCTCTGTACAGTGCCAAAGCGTAACAAATCAATCACTCCAGAAAAGGGAAAAGACACAAAATAAACAGATAAAAACACGTTTCTTTTCAGCACAAATTTAACTCAAAGATCATGAAACTAACTTCACGGGTTTGTGCAAATATACATCTAGGTCATCAACCTTCTTATTTGCTGCATCAGAGAAAGGGATGGGGTTAATAAATGGCAAAAATGGGGAAAACCAAAGCTAGTATATTCACAATAAAAAAGGTGTCACTAAAGAATTGCTGAAGCAAAAGCTTGATACTTAGTACTTACCTTCAGATGCTAAAGATTCAAGACAAACATTTGAGAGGCCGAAATTTTTTAAACTCAACGAATCGCTGAATCTACGAAGAAATTAAGAAATTTTTTAGACAATGGGCTCCGTTCACTTCGCTAATTCGAGTTTAGAATTCGAGTTTTTCTACAATAAAAAGCTCTCACAAACAATCACATTTAACTTTTTTGCTACAGTAAAAAGCTCTCACATAAAATCACATCTCAACTCGAATTCTAAACTCGAATCAGCGAAGTGAACGGGCATAGAATTTTGAAACATGACTTTTTGATTATTATTCGTTTCAAAAGGAGATACAATCTGAATTTGAATCCTACTAAACCTAACTGTATAATTGGTTTTATTCAATAATAATCCAAACAAGATTTCAAGTGAGAAAAAGAAAGGATACAAATCGTCGTCATCCAAAGAGACCTGTGCACGGTTTGAACAAGCAATCTTCAAGTCCACATCAAGCGGCATTGACGAATCGTCCTTGAGAAGTTCATCTTCGTCATCAATCTCAACTTCTACACCAAAAAAACACCAAAAATTAAAGTCAAATCTAGTGTTTGGAAAGACAGAAAATTGGAATTTCGCGCGTAGGCAGGGGATAGGTACCGGGAACGTATCCCAAGGGCTTGAGACGGTCTTGGAGGTGAAGAATGTGGATCTGGTTGTTCTTATAGACCTCGTTGAAGTGACCTAAGAGTTCCTCAAACGACACCGTTTCCAGCGACATGGATTCGAGGAGGTTGAGCTCCGTGCTGGCTGACGACACCCTCCGATTCAGGGACTGGATGAAAGTGGACGATGCCGATTCTGCCGCCGAAAAATGAAAATCAGGAAGGATAACGACGAGATTTAAAGAATTCCAAGAGGAAAGGAGATAGAATACGTGCGATTGTCTTATGTTTGGTTGCAGAGAAAGTGGACGCAAAGAAAAAGCGAGAAAGTACCGAGAGGGATCGGACGGCGGCGAATGGATTGGGCGAGGGCGTCGCAGCTGGTTTCGAGGTGGTTGGTGAACGAGGCTAGGCTTCTGCAGAAGCTCGATATCGATTCCTCCATCTCTATCTCTCTCTCTCTCCCTCGCAGAGTTGCGGTTGAAGATTGCAATTTGCAGTGAATGAGTGGGAAATTCCTTTTTATTGTGGGAGAACTTTTATTTTTTATTTAAATTTTATTTAAAGGGGTTACTTACAAACGAAAGCGCCTGTAGCTCAGTGGATAGAGCGTTTGTTTCCTAAGCAGAATGTCGTAGGTTCGACCCCTACCTGGCGCGTTTCTTAAATTTTTAATTCTCCATTTTTTATTTTATTTTTACAAGAAAGGACCCACTCTACTTGTAACTCTGGTCTTTTCAGTGGGCGTCAATGGCGGAAATAGAGTTCCTTCGGGTTCCAATTGGAAGCGTCAAGCTCGGGCGCAGGGGACTAAGAAGCAAGATGCTGTATCGGCTTCAAAGGCGCGAGCAGTCTCTAAGCGGAAGCAAATTGATACTTCGAATGGGGGAGGATGGAGATGTTAACGTACAAAAAGTCTCTGCTGATTTATCAATTTCTTTGGGTGTCTTGTCCTGTTTGAAATTAATTTTGTTTTTATTTTTTATATTTTTAGAGAGAAAAAAAATAAAAACGTTTTTAAAACGGTATTTAACGCAATAAAAATGATATTTTAGTTTAGTGTAAAATGAGATAAATGAATTTTCTCCTTTCCTGAGGAGAGAGAGACATTAATATTTTTTTATACTGAAAATAATCTCTTGATAAAACTACCAAACGCATTTTTAAAAATAATTTCTGTCTGAGATTGAAAAATTTTCATTTTCATACAAAAAACTAAAATCATTTTGAAATGAGTTCCAAACGCGCCATTCATTTCTTCAAGAAGGTGCATAAAGTTCTCTGTCGAAAATCCTCTTATCCTTGTGATGGTCACCTTCTCTGTTTTCAGAATTTGAACAGTCTTGAAATATTGCTCCATGTTCTAAAGAAAATTCTCTAATTCCTTTGCACTGCGGCTACCATTGAATGATTTGGGTTGATATTTTAGGTTCTCTGAATAATTTTTAATAAATTATTGAAACTGATTTTCTATACGGAAGCATGTATCTAGCAGATCGTGTATAATAAAAATTTTAATAAATCTTTAAGATACTCTATAGAATACATTAATTTATATACGAATAAATTAATCAAAATAATTTATGAATAAATTTACCTAGCGAATGATTAGGTCGATAACTCGAGTTATTTGACCACGAGAGTTCCTCGCTCTAAGCTAGCTTGGAATATCTGAATCTTTCTCGTCAATTCCTTAAATCTACGACGTACGAAGACGTGAATGTGGACACACCTAAAACGAAATAAGATTAGCACTCAAAACACTCAAGTCTTCCACTCAAGGCTTTAAATGAGTGAGCAGTCTCTAAGCAGAAGCCAATTGATACTTCGAATGGGGGAGGATGGAGATGTTAACGTACGAAAAGTCTTTGTTGATTTTATCAATTCCTTTAGGTGCCTTCGTTTTTTCAAAAAGGTGCGGAAAGTTCTCTGTTAAAAATCCTCTTATGCTTGTGATGGTCTCCTTCTCTGTTTTTAGAATTTGAAAAGTCTTGAAATATTGCTCCATGTTCTAAAGAAAATTCTCTAATTCCTTTGCACTGCGGCTACCGTTGAATGATTTGGGTTGATATTTTAGTTTCTCTTAATAATTTTTAATAAATTATTGAAACCGATTTTTTATACGGAAGCATGTATCTAGCGGATCACGTATAATAAAATTTTTAATAAATCTTTGACATACTCTATAGAATACATTAATTTATATACAAATACATTAATCAAAATAATTTATGAATAAATTTACCCAGCGAACGATTAGATCGATAACTTAAGTTATTTGACCACGAACGTTCATCGCTCTAAGCTAGTTTAGAATATCCGAATCTTTCTCGTCAATTCTTTAAATCTATGAAGTACGACGACGTGAATGTGAGCACACCTGAAACAAAATAGGATTAACACTCAAAACAATCAAGTCTTCCACAAACACCAAAGCACATGATAACTCTAAAAAATAGAGTTATTTTACTTCTAATTTTGTGCAAAAACCGACTTAATTCTCGAGATTTTAACTTATTTTGATTTGTTTTAATGTATTTTGTTTTATTTTAGTTTTATTAGATTTTTATTTATTTATTTATGATTTTATTTTATTTTTTATGTAATTTTATTTTATTTTAATTTGTATAGATAAATATTTATATAATATATATATATGTATGTATTTTTGTGTGCGTGTATATATATAACAATATAATATTATTATAAATAAATAATATATATTATATTATATTAGGTTTTTACATAATATAAATATAATAATTTTTATTTTATTTTTATTTTATTTTCAGCTTGATCACATCCGTTGAATTGAAGCACTAGGACGGTCAGAATTGGAGAGTGCATTACACTCTTCAGGGGAAGAGTGTGAGCAGACAAGGAAACATCAATGGTCCCATGTTGGAAAGCATTGTTCTTGTGTTTGATCTCATGTGAGTCAGTTTATGTGAGTTTGCTTTCTCTTACCAATCCAATTGCACTACGTGTCATGCTTATTATATCAATGGTCCGGATCAATTTGAAATGTTTGTTGATTTCTGATGGCCAATAGAAATCAAGTTTCACGTAGTCCTTGCCGCATTGGATTAAATCCAAAATATAATGAATTCTCATGGTGATTTCGGAGCAAGAAAAAGAAGAAAAAAATAAAAATTCTAAAGAAGGCAACTTGTAAAATCAATTCACCCGCTAAGCCGCCCATGGACCTTTTGTGCCTGCTTCGTGAATCTACAGCATCCATGCATTGGAATCATCTCCATTCCAAGGCCTATAAATAAGTTGCTTCCCCAACTCTTCAAGGCATCCTTCGAGCCTTAGAGCTCTTTAGAAATTAAAAAAAAATCTTTGTTTTAGTAATTCTTAGTTTAAATTTCAAAGTTTGTAATTTTTAGTTTTAAAGTTTGAATTCTGGAAGAGGAGTTTCGAGTCCTGTTAGGAGATATCCAAAGCAGATTAGAAACTGTATCTGCCACTGCGTTTGTACTAAAACTCTACTGTTATTATTGTTCTTATGAAATGATATTTGAATTTTTTTGTACTGTGTTAGTTTAATTATAATTATGTTTTAAATTTAATTTTTACTGGGATAATGACATAATCATATCATGAGGATTAATTTGTGTAAATGTTATTGTAATTGCTGTTAGCATTTATGCCCTTAGGAATAAATGTAACAATATTCTTTGAGATATTTTGACTATTAATAAAGATTTGTTTATTTTATCTATCTATGAATTGTCCTCTTTATGTTCATAATAGTTGAATGTATGATAAACAAACTGAAAGTCTGAGACTGTCATTCTAAATCTTTAGGTCATGCATATAATGTGAAGAACATGCGGAAGACAAGAATCTAAAGATGATAGTCTAAATCTTATGATCCACAATCGAGGGAATAAAGTTGGGCGCTTTATTCATGTTAAGATTGTTATGTTGTCTACTTCCTAACAGAGACGGCTTGTCTTGGTCGTCGGAGGTGGGACTCCATGGGTGGAGACATTGATATAGTTTCTAATGGTGAAATCTATATTGGATCGGACCAAAGTTGAATTGTTTTAATTAATAATTCTGTTTGAATAAAACAATTCACTTTTGACGAATTATATGTTGTCATCTTAATCCTGAGATGGATGATGAACCAGTATGCTTGACTTGTATCCTTTGATGTACTAAAGGGAGACATCCTAACATTATGTAAAGGTACGCTTGCCGGTACATTAGGAGTATGACTCGTGTATGCGTAGATTCGTTATTCATAGATAGTGGAATCCATAGCTCCTATAAAGAGTCAATGATATCCTCTTATGCATTATCAGTGGATTGGAAAATATGAGCGCTCAGCCATTGGACTACTATGTGTTATCTAATGGTTTACTGTTTGTAATTATAGGAATAGTATTTTTCTGATGGTATGATAATGGAACATAAGATAAATGTAATCGAGAACGTAAAACGGAACTTGACCTCAAGTCGATTATGGATATCCTATGGGGATGATACACTAATATATTGAGTCATGGACTAGAGCTAATCAGAGCTTTGTAAATA